GCTAATTACTAAGTTCTTGTGTATAATTCAATCCAGTACATTCCATGAAGTAGCTTTGCAGCTTCACCTGAATAATCTCAATATCTATATCTGAGTTATATATAGCTGTTGGATGAAATGTTTAAAAGTAAAGTCCATTGTCTATGTGTTCAAAGGATAGAAATGACTTTTAATTTCAGGCAAGCATAATAAGGAAATCATTATGGGCAAAAGCTCCTTTACTATAATTCAAAGTCGAGTATAAATGATCTTATTTGCTGTTTCTGATTGTTAATACATCTCTGTGCTTTCTATTAACATCCAATTCAAAGATACCTACATCTTAGGTGGTACTAAAATGAATCACACATATTGCACTTAATGCCTTTCCACAAGGAATGTCATGTTTGATCTTAATAATTCTGTCAGGTAGGTATTATGCCAATGTACAGATAAAGAGCAGATCCTGAGAGCTGACTAGAGAGTAAGGGCTTATACTGTCCTAGCACTCCAGAGCCCAAATTTTCCTTTCACCTCTGCTGCCCACTTGACCTGCTTCTGTCTCTCCAGCTGATGGTATGTTATTCAATGTACACATGCTTCCATTGAACCAAAACACTGTTCCTCGACAGTACTATATGCCTTAATTGTCCTTTGTTGTTGCACATGCCATTCTCGGTTCCTGGAATGACGCCTCTCATTTATTATCCTTGGTTACTTCCTACCTTCTCTTTAAGATACAAATCCAGTAGCCTCTAAACAATCTGAGATGAAATGGTCTGCTCAAGTGTCCTGGTGTGCCCAGCACAGATTACAAAGTGATTATCACCCACTAGCTTCTAAGCTAGTGAATATTTGAGAATAGAGAGTACCTTTAAAGAGTATGTGGCTAGGCATGGTGGCTTACACCTGTAATCTCAGTGCTTTGGGAAGCTGAGGTGAGAAGCTGAGGCCTCACTTGAGGCCAGGAGTTTCAGACCAGCCTGGGCAACATAGCAAGACCCTATGTCTCTACAAAATAAAATATTAGCAGGGTATGGTAACATGTCCCTGTAGTCCCAGCTACTTGGGAGGCTAAGGCAGGAGGATTCCTTCAGCCCAGAGTTGGAGATTATAGTGAGCTATGATTGTGCCACCACACTGCAGCCTGAGCAACAGAGTGAGACCTTGTCTTTTTTTTTTTTTTTTTTTTAAAAGAGTACATGGACAGACTCTTGCATATTGTATCCATTGTATCCATACAGTTTGCAGACAGTATATGTTGAATACAACAAAAAAAGACTTTAAAAGTTGCAGGGTACACAAAGTGGTATCAAATATCAAATATTAAAACTTGATTTGATTTCATTTCAAAGGAAAGCAATGTTTTTCCTACTGAATGTTACCAAAACCTATGTTAGAGATATTTTTTGAGAAAAAAATCCCTTTTGGATCATGTGCTAAGTAGGTACATTTTTGTATTTTTTCTAATCTTTGTAGTTAACCACAGGAAGAGATGAAAATTAGTAATTTAACCCAATTAAAGAGAAACAGGGAGACTAATTTGAAGTTCTCATCAATGTACTGCTGAAAGCTGGGTAATAAAAATCTTGATTTTTTTTAAAAATTAAAACATCTAATTTGTATTTTTCTTACACAGTATATGATACACTATGGGTGTTGAAATACAAGGGCCATCAAAAACACTGATGAGCTGGGTTGCAAAAACAGAATTCTCATCATATGAAGGCTATTTTAAGGCCATGAAGAAACCCCATAATATTGCACATCTTGATTTATACAAAAAAATCAAGTAACTGCTGTGAATTGCAATGTAATTTCTATGAATATCTTTTTTCAAAGTCCTAAAAACCACAATATGAAAAATTTTTAAGAGGGTGTACTACTCCTGAAAGTTCATATATTATCCTGGATTTTCCAACTTTTCCTTAATTCACATGAATTACTTTCATAGACAAAAATTTAAATAAGAAAACAACATACAAAATAATCAAATTACTCTTTCTAGTTTGTTCTGTTCAGTAAAGGCACAGCCACAGCAACTGCTATTTGAAAAAAACAAAATAATATATTGTACAAATGGAAACTCAATACAATTTACAATCTGAAAATTTGTTTGAATAGCTGGATCTCAGTCATCGGAACAACTCTTGATGCTGTTTAAGCACCCAGAGCTACTTAAACAGAATGTGGTTTTAAGAAACAGATGTGGTAAAGCCATACTTTGAAAAGTATAAAATATATTAAACATTATAAAGTATATGTCCATTTTAAAGAATTATAAAATGAACATATGTACGTAGCATCAAGTTAAAAAATGAAATGGTAATATTGAAGCACCCAGGGCCTCTCCTGTATTGCATTTTCTCCTGGAAGTGATCACCAGCCTATGTTTTGAACTAATTTTGCTTATGCTTTCATTGTTTTGGCACATTATATCTCCTATAAATATTGCTTTGTGTTCAGGCTATGTATAAATGGCATATATATTTACATACATGCATACTCCGTTTGAATATTTAAGTTTTTTATCCTTAACCTTATACTTGGGATTGGTTCCTGTTGATACTAGTGAGTGTAGACTTTCACTCCTTTATAATATTCCACTATATAGAAATACTTCATTTAATACATTCTACTGGTGGATCACTGGGCTGTTTTCAGCTTTATTTTTCTTCAGGTACAAATAATACTTTCATGAACATTCTGATATTTTTTTTTTTTTTTGAGACAGAGTCTCACTTTGTTGTCCAGGCTAGAGTGAGTGCCGTGGCGTCAGCCTAGCTCACAGCAACCTCAAACTCCTGGGCTCAAGCGATCCTCCTGCCTCAGCCTCCCGAGTAGCTGGGACTACAGGCATGCGCCACCATGCCCGGCTAATTTTATATATATATATATCAGTTGGCCAATTAATTTCTTTCTATTTATAGTAGAGACGGGGTCTCGCTCTTGCTCAGGCTGGTTTTGAACTCCTGACCTTGAGCAATCCGCCCGCCTCGGCCTCCCAAGAGCTAGGATTACAGGCGTGAGCCACAGCGCCCGGCCACATTCTGATATTAATAGTTGGTTTCTCTAGTATATTTATACAAACATTTCTTTAGGCTGGAATTTTGGTTGTAGGGACTACACACCTTAAAATTTATTAGGCAATAACAAGTTATTTTCCAAGGTGGCTGTACCAGTTTATACTCCTGCTATAATTTCATGAGAGTTCTTATTGCTCCCTGTCCTCACCGATTCTTATTGTCAGACTTATAAATTGTGCCACATGGTTTTAATTTGTATTTCTCTATTTTCTTCCAAAAGTTTTAAAGTTTAAGTCCTTGACCCATCTTAATTTGATTTTTGTGCAAGAAGTTATATACCTACTTGCTCTTTTGAAAATTTCCTTATATTTCTCATAGTTAAAATTATTTTCAAAGAGATTTTTCTTCTCCCTGATATCTATCCTCACCACTTATGAGGAGACTCGATGGATTAATCAAAGAATAGAAACACATACAGAACTCCAGAGAAGTAACATTCTAAAGAACATAGTGAGTTTTTACTAGACATGGAATAATGCAAATTAGAATAAAAATAATATTTTGAACCTCACAAGTAGCAAAAAGTATTTTTAATAAGGCTAACCAACGTGAGAGTGTTGTAAAATTAGGATTGTCACACACACACAACCAACTTTTGGTGGTGCATTTTATCCTTTTGCAAAGGTTATTTGAGGTAAACTACGTTGAAGGCTTTCAGGGCATCTATATTCTTTTAATGATATTTAACTTTATGAAATCTATCCTATGGAAATAATTTTGAAATCAGAAAAAATTTTAATGTACTAAGATATGAATTATAGTGTTCTATATATACATACACATAATAGCAAAAATGAAAATAGCTTAACAGTGGTTAAGATACACAAAATAGGATGTTACATAGCCTCTAAAGTTGTCTATAACAATATATTTCCATATTTATTATGTGAAGAATAAAACATAAAATGGCTTAAAGCTATGTTAAAACAAGAAAATAAGCAAAAAATATATGGCTAAGAGAAAGTTTGGAAGAAAACAATGAAATGTTAATAGTGTCTGTGAATATTTTCTTTCAAATTTCCTGTTTCCAAAACTAGTTTTCTATAATGAATTCCTATTGCTTGTATAATAGAAACATGTAAAATATAAACATATGATTTTATTATTAAAATTAAAAATATTCAACTGTTGTGAATGTATTGTCAATAAGCTGCAAAAGGGTAGGACACACATATTTACTGCAGCTCTGCATTAGCCTCTGACAACTGATGACAGGAGGGGTGGCTGCAGCTTGTGTGCCACTCATGTCTTGCCATGGTTTCAGATCCATGTGCAAAAATATAATCACAGGAAACTATATGCTGGCTAGAAGCCAATAGAATAATTTATATAAACGTAAGCTGTTGTCCAGTATTCTTATTTGTTGACACCAAATAAAGGAAGGACTATTTGGAATTCTCAAATTAGCTAACTTCACCCTGTAACATAATATTACTGAAATGGTTATCTAGTGGAATGGGGGAGAGGAAGGAGAAGAACTTAATGTTTGTTGAGTGCCTATATGTGCCAAGCACTTTGACATATTATTTCACTAATACTCATAATGATCCTGTCAAGTAGGTATTGTGAGTTTTGATTTCCAAGGTAAGAAATTGAAGCTCATAGAGTTAAATAACATGACTAAACTTAAGTACTATGCCTGATACACTGTAAGTGCACCATAAATATTTTTTGAATCGATAGTAGGTATACCTAGTATGGAAGAACCAGGAATCAAACTTAGATTCATCTCATTACAAAGCCCACATTATTTCCATCACAGTACACTGCCTTCTGTGTGAGACAGAACCATTTGAAAATGGGTAAGAAAAATCACTGCCAATGTAAACATGGCTATTAAACCTGGCAACCTACGATTTCTCCCTTCATGTTAAAACTATTTCAATTTCAAATGTATGCTTGGTAAAAGATATGAAAAGACAGAAAACACACAGAGGATCTTCAATGGCTTTTAAATTATTTAACATACATAGCATGTGAAAATAACATAAATCCATCTGAAAACATGTGTAAGGCACATTTTATTAGTTAATACAGCTCATCCCCTTTTTGAATTCTGCCAACTTCTTTAAAATGTTTCCTATGAACCATTATCTGAAAAGTGTTAAGTTTATCAACATTAGATGTTATGTCTCTTTTCTATATTTGCCCCACGCTTATGCTGAAACAATTATTTGGAAATGCTAAAATAAATAAAATGTGGTATTTGCTTTCTTAGCTGTTTTGTATATGGCATCAAAATAATTTACAACCATAAAAGTTGAAAATAATTTTATTGGTTCTCCTATACAGAAATCCACATAACCAATAGAGTGCTACTTTAAAAAAAAAAAAAAACTCTACCAACTTCTTTAAAATATTTCCTGTGAAAATGTCACCTAAAATGTGTTATTTTAATTTTTATGGATATTAGGTGTTATACTTATTTTCTTTCTTTGCCCTTACCTTCTTTACTCCACACTTACAGCAAAACAAATTATTTGAATATGCTAAAATAAATAAAATGTGGCATGCTTTCTTAGTTTTGTATACTATAATAAAATATTTACAAAACTTGAAAAATAATTTCATTGGTTTTTCTGTATATAATTGTCTACCTACTATAAGTGAACTAATCTCTGGAATTAAGTCACTTTGTTATCTCAAGTATAAAGGGCCAAAAATTTAAGGGAATTATAAAAACTCCAAGATGACTACTTTAAAGTAGATGCACATTAAAATATTATAGATCTTGCATATTTAATATTTATCAAACAGAGAAAAAATTGTTTATCTTTGCACTTAGCAATAATATCTTCAAGAAAATTTTTTACCACTTTTCAAAGCATTATTGTTTAGAAGATTGTATTGAAAGAGAAGATTTATAAAACATTACCTTCCTCATCTAAAACCAAAAACAAATAAGGACTTAAAAATACGTTATTACAAAAGATGGTGACTAGACATAAGGACTATGTCTAATAAGCTACAGGGCCATCAAGATGAAAAGGCTTTTGCTTCATTTAAGATCTAGGATCTGAAAATATCATTTGATAAATTTAACTGGATTTTCTTTTCTGATTGTGTTTAACCCACAGATTTGGTTGTATACCATAGCAATTTTAATTTTACCTGGATATTAAAAAAAAAAAAACCACTGGATTCCAAATGCAGATCAATACCCTATTTAACTTAGATTGAGAACTAATCAGTGTGATATACTTATTTGGTTGTATAAATACATTTCAAGAGACTTAAAAAATTATAAAACAAGATGTTTTTAGAAATACTTTAAATTGAATAAGAAAAAGTTATCAAAGCTATTAAATATCTTTCTTATGGGCTAGATAAGAAAAAAAACACCTTAATAGACACATGGTTACAAATTTCCTCAAGGAGGTAAAGAGGTTGTGACCAGTATCAAGATCTTAAAGTATTATTTCATAGCCTAAGTTATCCTACTCTGAGTGGTGTAAAGAGTTTGAGCTGGTACACCCTGATACTAGAGGAAATCTAAAGCAATGCACCTAGCTGGATTAAAAAAAAACTTACCCTGATTTATTAAAATGCACTGTTCTTTTACATACATTTTTCTTTAAAATTCTAAGATGGGCATTTGTTTATGCAGTATGGAATAAGCTTTATAAGGCTGGTATTTCAATGAAAAACAAGTTATCTATCTTTAATAACTGGAAAAACTTTAAATCACTTTTATTTTCTTATATTTAAGCATCCCTTATTAAAGCCTATGATTTTTATTAATGCAAACAAAGCAAAAAGTGATTGTTTTTGACACATTTCACTGTACCACAGTGTAACTGATAGTCTCAATCTCAGTTAACCTTCAATACTCTGTACATACTATTCTGAAATACTGTGGTGAAGTAAGGCCTTGCATCCTTGAGCAAGATGCTACATAAGGGAGGGTTAGCTGCATTGGATGGGTCTTCCACATCCCAGATTTCAAGCATACTGCAACCAGGCCTAAAAAAAGATACACATATATATGTATAAAAATGTATTCATATTTAGAGGAGAGACATAAATTATAAACTATCTCCTAGATTTTCAGAGACTAATTTATTTAATAAATTTTATAAAGCATTTCAAAAAACATAAGTTCAACATTTAGAGATAAAAAATTAAGTATGTAGCATTTTTATGTCCTACTTAGCCAAATAATGAGACATCCTAAAATAAAGTCTCAACATACATTCATAAATATATACTTAAAAATTCACTTTCAAAATGAAATATAAATATTTTACAAATGATATCACCATCCAAACATAAAGTCCATTTATAGTGGAATGAGACAAATTAAAGTAAAGCTAATCAAATTCCTGATGAATTTCATATTGTTGAGCATAAATTGCCTTGGATTAGCATGAAAACATAGTCCAAGTCAGGGAAAGGAGGCTTTTAAGCCAATTTGTTTTCCTCAACCCTTTCTGGTTTAGGGTGGCTGCTATGAGTAGGCTAAATGAGACAATATTACTCACTACAGAGTAAGTAACCCTGCATGAAAGTCATTAAAGGAAAGGAATCAGGCAGAATTGGTTTCTTTCTTACTTTCTCTCTTTCCCTCTCTCTCTCTTGCTCAGGCTGGTCTCGTGGTTTCTAATATTTTTAACGTCTATATTGAAGCATAATTTATATGCAATAAAATTCACCCATTTTATGTGTAAAGTTTGTTAAGTATGGACAAACGTATATAGATGTGTAAGCACTACCACAATCATAATACAGAAAATTTCCATCACCCCAGCAAGTTCCTTTGTGCCGTCCTGTAGTTAATACCCTCCCCAAAACACAGCTCCAGGCAACTACTGATCTTTCTGCACTATAGTTTTACCTTTTCTAGAATTTCATATAAATACATTACATAGTCTTTTAATTTTTGGCTTCTTTACTTTAACATGTCTTTGATATTCATACCTCAGATGTTGTAGTTCTTCAGTTTCTAACTACAGTTCAGTAGTTCCTTACTTTTTATTGCTAAACAGTATTTCATTTTGTGGAGAGATAACACAATTTGTTTATCCATGTGTAAGTTAATAAACTCTTGAGATGTTTTGAGTTTTTGGTGATAGGGAGCAATGCTGCTATGAACAATCATGGACAAGGCTTTGTGTGGACATATGCTATCATTTCTCTTAGGAGCACATGTAGGAATGGAATTGCTGGGTTGTATGGTAAGTGTGTACCTAACTTTATAAGCAACTTCAAAACTGTTTTCCAAAGTACATGCACCATTTTCCATTTCCACCAAAAATGTGTGAGAGTTTAAGTTGTTCTATATCCTTAGAAATACTTGGTATTATCATTTTTTGTAGTTTTAGTCATGCTAGTGTGGTTATGGTTCATTCAAAATATTTTCTTTGGGGGAATGTCTATTCATTAGTTTGCCAAATTTTGTGTTGTTTCTTATTTATTGAAGTCTGAGTTCTTTACATATTCTGAATAAAAGTCCTTGTCAGATTTTTTAGCAGATTTATCAAGGCATAACTGCTCAATAACTACTCAACAAACTATATATATTTAGTATACACTTTGATGCATTTTAACATATGTATACGTCTATGAAACTACAACCACAATAAAAATCATGAACATATCCATCTCTCCTGAAAGTTTACTTCTGCCTTTTTGTAAGCCTATTCTCTTATCCCAGCCAACTCCCCTCCTCAGACTATTTATCTGCCTTCTGTCACTATAGATTTATTTGCATTTTCTGGAATTATTGCATATTTTCTTTTTTGTCTGGTTTCCCCAGTAGAATTATTTTAAGATTCATCCATATTGTATCAATAGTTCATTCTTTCCTTTTGGTATTATTACATTGACTGGATATTACACAATAATGCGTATCCACTCATCTGTTGATGAATAATGGGGTCATATGTAGTTTTTGGTTATTACAAAAAATAAGCTATGAATATTTGTGTATGAGTATTGGTATGGATGCATGCTTTCTTTTATCTTATGTTATCTTATCTTTTATCTTAAATACATATAGTAGGTGCATGTTTTACTTTTTCTAAAATTGCCTGTCTTGCAAAGTGATTGTACCATATTACACTCATATCATTAGTGTATGAGAATTCTAGATCCTTCAGAGTGTCAGCACCACTTAGCATAATCATTTTTTCCAATTTTAGACATATTATTAGGTCTTTAGTGATATCTCATTGTAGTTTTTGACTTGTATTTCACAAATGACTAGTAATATCAAGCATCTTTGCTTGTGATTATTTACCATCCACATTTTTTTTTGTTGAAGTGTCTGTCCAAAAATGCTGCCCATTTTTTATTTGGTTGTTTTCTTATTACTACATTTTGAATGTTCTTAATAAATCTAGATAAAGTCCTTTATAAGACATAGGCTTTGAAAATATTTTCTCCTAGACTGTAGTTTATCTTTTAATTCTTCCTAACAGTGTCTATAAAAGATCAAAGGTTTGTAATTTTAATGAGGTTGTATTTACCAATGTGTTCTCCTATGGATCACGCTTCTGATACTGTATGTAAGAAATCTTTGCTTGACCAAAGGTTTTCTAGAAATTTTATATTCTTAGATAAATAAGTTACCTTCTATTTCTAGTTTTCAAAGGATTTTTAATTAATTATGGATATTGGATTATATCAAATACTGAATCTATTTTCCTGAATCTATTGAGATGATCACATGATCTTACTTTTTTAGTTTGTGAATATGGTGAATTTTCTTGATTGATTTCCAAATATTGAGACAACCCTGCATTCTAGGGATAAACTCCATTTGCATATGATGCCCTCTCTTTTTAAAAATATACTGCTGGATTTGTTTGCTATAATTTTATATAGAAATTTTACATATATGTTCATGAGAAATTCTGGTCTGTTTCCTTTTATCGTGTTGGTATCAGGATAATGCTGGCCTCATAGAACATATTGGAAAGTAATCCCTCCTTTTTAATTTTCTGGAATAGCTTGTGAAATTAGAGTTATTTCCAGTAAAGATTATCTACCCTAAAGTTTTCTTTGTGAGAAGAATGTTTTTTACTATAAATTCAAATTTATTATAAGATATAGATCATTCATATTAGATATACCATGTTCTATTTCTTCTTACGTGAGCTTTAGTCGTTTGCATCTTTCAAGAAATTTGTCCATTTTCATCTATTTTGTCTTGCTTTGTGGAGTAAAGTTGTTCATAATATTCCCTAATTATCCTTTTAATTTCTTTAGATACTGTAGTGACAAAGTTGTTTTGAGAAACTTAATTATGATATTTATTGGTGTAGTTTTCTTCATGTTTTTCTTTGGGGTTTGTAACCTTTTTGGATTTATGGGTATAGTTTTCATGAACTTTGGAAAAATTTACACAATTATTACTTCAAATATTTTATGTCCCCCATTATGGGGACTCCAATTATATATATATATCAAATCACTTGAAGTCCTGTAGATCATTGATGGTCTATGAATACATATTTTTCTTCTTTCTCTATATATTTCATTTTACGCAGTTGCCATTGCTACATCTTCAAGTTCATCAATCTTTTCTTCTTCCACATCTAATCTGTCATTACTTCTATCCAGTGTATTGTTCATCTCAGACTGAAAAATTTTCCTCATTAGATGTTAAATTTGGGTCTTTTATATGTCTTCCATGTTCCTACTTAACTTTTTGATTATATGGAATGTAGTTACTTTAATTGTTTTAATGTTCTTGTCTGATAATTCTAACATCTGTTCCAGTTCTGGTTTGCTTTTGATTGGTTGACTTTTCTCCACATTATGGAGCTATTTCCCTGCTATTTTTAACTGATAATCATTGAATGAATAACAGACATTATGAATCTTACTGTTTGTTACTGGACAATTCTGTGTTCTTGTAAATATTCTAGAGCTTTGTTCTATGATGTAGTTAATTTACTTGGTCCTTTTGGGTCTTGCTTTTAAGATTTGTTAAGTGGGACCAGAGAAATGTATAATCAGTGGCTAATTACTCTCCACCACTGAGGCCCCTCTTAGTACTTCTTAGTACCCAATGCACCATGAAATATGAGGTTTGCTAGTCTGTGAGAGTGCCAAAGCTTCTCTCATTAATCATCTTGATTCTTTCCATAGCCTTAGTTCCCTCAGATGCATGGACTGATAATTACTTTACTAAATACTCAAAAGGGAAACTCACAGATCTCTGGAGTTCTTTCTCTGTGATGGTCTGCTCTCTGTAGTCTTTTGTCCTGCTAACCCTAACTTTCTCAGTATCCCCAAACTCCAGGAGATCACAAGGAATTTCTAGGACTTTTTCTCCTAGTTATTTCACAGTTTTAGCTCTTCTGTTTAGGTCTATTGCCCACTTAAAAAAATGGACAGGTTTGAGGTAAGGGTTTTTTTTTTTTGTATATGCCTGCATATGAAGTGTAATTGTTTTAGTGCATTTTGTTAAAAAAAATTTTACTTTCTCCAATAAGTACCTTGGTGTTTTTGTTGAGAATCAACAGAACATGTAAGTATGTGTGTATTTTGAAGTGTTGTTTTTGTTCTAGTTATCCATCTTTATGGCGATATCACCTGTCTTGTTTACTATAGCTTTATCATAAGTCTTAACATCTTTTGCTATTGTTCTGTAAAATTGTTTGGCCATTCTAGGTCCTTTGTATTTCCATATAAATGGACCAGAATCAACTGGTCATTTTCAACAAGCCTACTGGGATACTGATTGGAATTGTATTGTACCAATAGACCAATTTTGGGAGAACTGCCAAATGCTATTTCAATCAAGGAATTGAATTTTTCAACAATGTTCTATAGTTTTTGGTGTACAAGTTTTGTTCAGGTTTCAGGAAATGTATTCCTAATAAATTTTCGATGATAATATAAATGGAGTTGATTTTTAATTCATTTTTCATTTTTTTCATTGCTTATATGGAAATACAATTGATTTTCAAATATTGATTTTTTTTCCTGTGATACTGATATGCTTATTCGTTTAT